TTCAATACAATATTCCGTTAGTCATATAAAAATATATAAGTTTAGTATATTCAAATCCTTACTGGTAGGTGTAAGAGCTTTCATGGATGCGACAAAAGAAGGGTCATCTTTTGCTTTATATGCCACATCTATTTTTGATAGTGAAAAGATATCAAGTAATATTCTTAGTCAATGTCAAGATTTCTATAATATTTTAAAAAAAAGTACAAATATTCTTTTAGAGTATTGTTCTTATGATTGTTCCATCAACCTTCACAAAAGAGTCCAACTACCATTTGAAGCAATCTATAGCCTATCACAAAATAAATTAGCTTTATTCATCAAGGACATTGATGAGAACTTGACTAAGAATTTTATATATCATTCTAAATCTCCAATCAAGGCTCTTATCTTATTTGTGAAGAAAAAAGATAAATCTCTAGGAATGTATGTGGACTATCAAGGATTCAAAAAGATCACCATCAAGAATAGGTATCTTCTACTTTTGATTTTAAAACTTCTTAATTAATTCAATCAAACAAAGATCTATAAAAAAATAGATCTATGATGAACATATAATCCGATATGTATTAAAAAAGGAGATGAATGGAAAAATTACATTTTGAATCAAGTACGAACATTTTGAATATAATGTCATGCCTTTTAGACTCAAAAATGTTCTAATTTTTTTTTTTTAATATCTAATAAATGATGTCTTTTGTGAGTTTCTTAATGATTTTATTTTTTGTTATTTAGATGACATCTTAATCTATTCTAAGATCATAGAAGAGTATGAAGTTCATATTTGTTGTGTATTACAAAAACTTAAAGATGTAGGTTTATATACCACGTTAAAAAAGTATGTATTCTACACTACTCAAGTTGACTTTCTAGGATATATCATTTCCAATAAAGGGCTAATAATATTCCAAAGAAGGTCCAAATTATCATGGATTGGAAAATTCTAATAATAATAAGAAATGTATAATACTTTTTGGGCTTTGTCAATTACTATTGAAAATTCATTAAGAATTTTTCTCAAGTTGTAGCTCCAATTACATGTTTGATTTATAAAGACAAACTTAAGTAGAATAAAGAAGCCAAAACATTATTTGACTCTTTAAAAAATGAATTTACTTTTGTAATAATTTTATATGGTGTTGATTTCTCCAAGGCATTTTTCATAGAAATAGATGCATCCAACTTTACCTTGAATGTAATATTATCATAATTAAAAACAAATAACAAATTCCATCTAGTATCTTTTCATTTTAGAACATTTTCAGTAATCGAAATTAATTATGATATCCACGACAAAGAACTCTTTGCAATCATGGATTTTTTTCAAAAATAGCATCATTATCTAAAAATACCTTAAGTCCAATTAGCATATATATAAATTACAAGAACTTCTATTACTTCATGTCAATGCATGTTTTGAATTTTTATCAAGCTCGTTGGAGCATGTCTTTATCAAGATTTGATTTCAAGGTCACTTATTGGCTCAAAAAATAACAAGGTTTATCAAATGTCTTTTTTAGACATTCTTATCTTGTACCAAAAGAAAAAAATACATCTTTTGATCAACAAAGAATGATTCTCTTGAAGCCAAAGCATTTTCACCTTTGAGTAATAAAATCAACATTGACTATTGATTCAACCTTTGTCAAGTAAAATCAATCAAGTATGTCCTTTGTTCTTCTTATCTATCATATCAAGAATAATTCTTCTTAGTCTCATGATACTTCCAAGTTCAAGTTCAAGAACAACCTACTCTATTTCAAGTAATGATTATACATTCGAGAAGTGGGGGCATCATTACTTGTTCTTCAAACTTGCCATGACTTTCTAGTAGTTGGATATTTTAGATACAATAAGACTTTGAAACTAATATTGAAAGATTTTTGGTAGCCTCAAATGTAGATGGTAGTCAAAAACTTTGTAAAATCATATATATTTGTTCAAGATCCAAAACTCCTTGCAATTGACCTTATGGACTTCTTCAGCCATTATCTATTCCAAAACATCTATGGTCTTTTGTTTCTATGGATTTTACCACAAATCTTTTAGTCTCAAGTTCATATGATTCTATATTTGTAGTAATAGATTATTTTAATAAGATGGCATATTTTGTACTATGTACAAAATTTATCATAGATAAAAAAATGATTGTGTTTTTTTGAACAATATTTATCGCTATCATGGATTACCTAAAGACATTAAATTGGATAGGAAAATCTAATTTATACTAAGATTTTGGAGAATCCTTTTTAAGATTTTAAAGGTCTCTTTGGCTTTCCATCTACAAAGTGATGGACAAATAAAATGAGTGAATCAAAGGTTTGGACTAATATTTGAGATATACCATCAATTATTATCAAGATGATTGAACAACTCTTTTGCCATCGACAAAATTTACGTACAATAATTTAATATATTCTTTTATTCAAGAAATACCTATCTTTGCTAATCATGGTTATCATCCACAACTTATTGCTTTTGACTTTTCAAAAGTTGATAATCCTATGACAAAAGATTTAACAAATTGTTTGTAAGACTTACATGCAATAATGAAGGCACATTCAAAAGAAGCTCAAGAACAAAAAAAGTACAATGTAGATGCCTATTACAAGGAAAAATCACAATTCAATGTGGATGATAAGATATGATTACTCTATTGTAATATCAAGACTACTTGTCTTTATTACAAATTAGACTATTGTAGCATTGGACCTTTTTCTATTAGTAAACAAGTCAATCTTATTGCTTATTGATTATATCTATTGGAGTCTATAAAGATCCATTTTGTATTTCACATATCTCTTTTTGATCCATATAAGATAATGAATATCTTGGAAAGAAGAAAAATGCCACCTTTTTTTATAGAAGTGGATAATAATCAAGAGTTTGAGATAAAAGAAGTCTTGGATTCAAGGCGACGGTGAAATAGGTTAAAATATCTTGTACATTGGAGCGGATATGATATTAATGAATGTACTTAGAAGTTAGCAAAAAATCTTGCAAATACAATAAAAAAAGTTGAGGCTTTTCATTGATGACATCCGTCAAAACTAAGATGAAGAATAGCAAATCTTTGCTATAAAAGAAATAACGTCCAAAGGAGGTTACATTCTACTTTTTACCCTTCTTTGTAGGTTTTGTGTATTTGTGATACTAAGGAGATGGAAAACCAACAACTAGTAGATTCAATTCAATAACTTCCATTTGCTGATTAATTGGATGAGATATTGCAATTGTTACAACGTTCAAGATAATGTAATTGAGATGAAGATCCTCAAGAACCACATTTCCTTCTTTGAATAGATGAAAAATTACAATATTTTTGGTATCACAACCTTGAAAGAGACTTTTGATGTTTAGTGATTTTATTGGAGATATAAACAACTCTTAATGATTTTTTAAATATTTTATTTGAAAGAAGTTACCAATGCCTGAACAATGATAAAAAAATAGGGTGGTCTCACTCCTTTGGTATAGAATACTATCAATGAATGAGAGGATCTATCAACCATCTTTGAAGGAAACAAAGATCAGAGTATTTGGCAAATACAATTTGTTTCATCTTCAATTTCATCAATACATGATGACCACTCTTCATGAAACTTGTTCCTAGAAAGGAAGGTAATATCATATATATATATATATATATATATATATATATATATGTACTTTTGTAAATATCTAAATGATTAGGTAGAAGTAGGTAAAAATGAATAAAAATAGATTAATTTCATAATATCTTCTAGAAAAGCTTTTTAGAAGCTTTATAGTTGCTACTTTGATTTTATATGTATTTGTACTTGATTGGTGGTTTAAAAACTTGATGAACAAGCTAAGTATATGGGACACATATAAAAAACTTGCCTTACAAGTTAAGATATGTATCTTGTAAAGTCAATACATCTTGGAGGTTCTACAGGACATTGTCACATAGCTCCTAGTAAAGAGTATATATGGAGGCTAGAGTGAAGCCTTCTTCACTCTTGTTAATGCCTTTTTAGTCTTCGGTCTTATTTCAAAATCTTCTAGTCTTCAAAAAAATAAAAAAATAAAAAAGACAAGAATTTTAAGTTTCTATTCTTTAAAAAATAGAATAGAAAAAAGACTAATACCAATTCCACCTCACCCACCTTATCCTTGACTCCAACAATGCAATTAAATACAATAGCATGGTGCCCACCCTTGATGTCGTACAAAGAGATCACATCGCCATAGAGTCCAAAACCACCTATGACTGCAAGTTTGGCCAAAGCACCAATGGGCCCAAGAGAGGGCAACTTCATGTTGCACACATTGTTAAGATTCATGGTAGATTGCTACTCCAATGCTAGGATTCTTCAATTGAAGAATGTTTTTCAAATATAATATAAATAGAAAGAAATAAAATATACAACAAAGCTTTTACAAAGTAGGATAGGTTGACTTGTGTAGTTGTCATGGATAATATGCAAAAAGAATAGTTAATTTTGTTCAAAGAACTATTTGTGAAAAAAATATATATATATATATATATATATATATATATTCATTATTAAATTATATTAAAAAATCATAAAAGTATGTTAAGATATTCAAAGATGTATTAAAGTTAATAAGTAAATGAATAAATATGCAAAATATAAAAAATAAATTACTAATATTTATCTAATTAAAAATTTTAGAAAAACAATATTCAGCATGGAAGTTAATTTGACATTTCTAGGAAGAAGATTCTTGATAGAATAGGAAGAAGTGCATCAAGTGCTACATATTGACCATGGAAAAAAATAGGTTGTCGTAGATCCAAACCAACATGCTTCACTGATTGTCATAGGGATCTGCTTATTGTTATTGCAAATGTAAGACGGATTGGAAATTACTTTCTCTTTAGAATGAATGGAATTACACAACGTGAGGTGGGTTTGGTGGCTTATAGTCCTTGACAAATTATTTGCTGCACTATTAGGAAAGTGGCTCGAGTTTAAAAGAACCATTGTACATTTTTCTCTTCGATTTCCTCTTCTCCCTTTCCTTTGAATTCTTAATCCTCGTTATTGTCTTAGATCATACGCTCTATTCTTGTATCCAGTAGTAGCGTTTTCACTCTCTGAAGTGCAACCAGGGAAATCTCGGTACTGGCCCAGAATTTGATGTCGACTGACTGTAATTCAACTTGGGTATGGCAGGTGGTCAGCAGGGAAATCCGGAGAATTTTGCAGGAGCGTGCTTTGAGCTTTAATATTGCGTTGGATGATGTATCCATCACTAACCTGACTTTCGGGCGGGAGTTCACAGTTGCTTTCGAAGCCAAGCAAGTTGCTGCTCAAGAGGCTGAGAGTGCCAAGTTTGTAGTGGAGAAAGCTGAACAAGACAAACGAAGTGCTATTATTCGTGCTCAGGTGCTTTAGCCATTTGTATTGTTTCAGTTATGTTTCTGAGGTAGTTTTTAATGGAGATTATCGTCCTCCGAAGCTTTTGATGTTGGCATTTGGTTTCTCTTCTTTTGAATAGAGTAGCGTCATTAATTGTGAAAGGTTTTTAAGTTTCTTTTGTTGTATATCTCAGGGAGAGGCAAAGAGTGCGCAGCTCATTGGTGATGCCATTTCGAACAACCCAGCTTTCATAAGTTTGCGTAAGATCGAGGCCAGCCGAGAAATTGTGAATACAATTTTCACCTCTCAGAATCGCGTATTCTTGAGTGCTGATTCTTTACTTCTCAACTTAGACTTGGATGTTTAGGACGTCGGACTTAAGTCACAGCTCTAAACCAAGAAGTAATTGAGAAATAAGTTGTTCATTTTGGGTCTTCAAATATATAGCCTTCCCTTGTCAATCTTCTCGCAAGTGATTGCGATTTCCCAGGAGTAATCTGAGTGCTGAAACAGGGGTTTTTGAGGTAGCTTCGTCCTTCTAGTCAGGCAAACTTCCTATTGATACGGTGTAGTGGGGTTCAGTTTTCACGAAGAGAATTGCTTTTTGACGGCCTATTCTTAATGAGGTAACCTTAGGAATGAGGATCCTACATGGGAATAAACACTGCATGGTACAAGCGTTAAAATCTTTAGTGGAGTATTGCTCCTCACTTCCAAAGTGGTCCTGCAAATTAGTTTACAAACAGGGGACTTCGATGTTAAGTCGAACTTCGGGTTCATTTTTGTGAGGAACTAAAATCTCTGGCTGTGACACTCTTCCCTTTTGCCTGGTCGAAGATACGATCACTGTTGGACTGATGACAAATGTTGTAGCTCTTGCGTGTCGCTTGCAGTGTGTCTCAAATGCAGATCGTCGTCCCAAGTCGGAAGTAATGAGTGTGCAGCGTCGAAGCTTAATTGATTCTTAGCTGGATGGATACATATTATTTTCCAATCAGCGAGTTATATTGTTTGCAAGCCACACACGGAAATTTCGAAATTGAAATGCAGTATGGATGTCACTAACCTGTTTAAGAATATGTATTCAGGTTATTTTTTCATTGACAAGATTTGTTATTTTGTCCTACTATTCTTTTGTGGCCTAACTTAAATTTCTATATACTTGATTGTCCAGTCGAAGTGGAATTCTATGGAGGAAAATCTTTCAAGAACACTAGAACTGAAGTGGAGTCTCAAAACGTGAACTCTTGAGCGAATTGCTGTTTGTGAAGCTGCGTTTTTTGTTTCCCATGTGAGAGTCCCAATAATTGTACCACGTGTGTAGGATTTTTGTGTTACAGATGTCTACAATGTTAATCTTATTCACCACTGTAGTGTAAGTTGCCGTCACAAGCTAGACACCAATAAAATCGAGCTCCGATCTTCATGTCCGGTGATATTTGTTGAAGTTACTCTTTAGATCTTGAAACCGCCTGGTTGATTTTGCAGACCAAACGCTGCACGACAAATGTTTTTCGCTTTGATGACATGGCCTTAGACGTCATTGTTTTCTGTCTTTGGATTGTAAAGATTATCGTTTTCTGAAGCTTCTCTTCGAAGTCTTTAAGTGCCAGTGGGACTATATTTATGCGATACTATTGGGGATTCAGTTAACAATGAGACTGGCATTGCTACCTATATGATTTGCTGGAGGGTAGATGGTTTTTGGAGGAGAGAGAGAAGTCCTGGCATGAAAATGAATATAGAAGGGTGATGGAAGTGCTGCGATGAGTTGAGATATTGATGGGTCTAGAAAGATGGAACTAGTTAAAATTATCTGTCGTGTTTGAGACCCTAATGACGAGTTTGAAGCCTGCCATGAAATTGACAAGCGCGCTGAGTGGGGAGGCGGTGGGTCGTGTGGTGCGATCGCAAAACTCGAAGGAATTGCAGCAAAGTGTGAAACTAGTGGACTCCAAGATCACGTTCAAGGTGAAGAAAGGAGCCAAGGAGGGGAAGGAGAAGGGGAAACTAACCGGGAAGAGCAAGGCTGCCGCTGTCCTTGCGGTGATCGAGTCTGTTCTCGACGGGGGTGGTGCTGCTGTGGCGGAACAGGGGAAGAGGTCAAGGAAGAAGACCCAAAAGGCGGCCGTCGTCTCTGAAGCGACATCAGCGAGCCTTGATACAGAGCTCACAGCAACAACCTCTGAGAGAACTGAGTTTCCTTCCCTAGTATCGGATGCAGTGCGGAAAGCTACAATTTCAATATCTGAAAGGGAATCGTGGAATATCAGTCTGTCGACAGCAGAAGTAGTTGCCGAGGCCACCAAACACCTAATTGCAGCGGATGCGAAACTAGGAGACGTCATTGGTGCTCATGGGGCATGTCCTATGTGGGAGCAGGAGGGGACCTGCTTCACTGCTTTGGCTCGCAGCATTGTCTACCAGCAGATCTCTGGCAAGGCCGCTTGCGCCATTTACTGTCGTCTCATCAGCATTTGCGGGGTATTACAAATTCCTATTTTGTCCTTGTTTTTTCTTTCTTCATCTGGCGTCTTTGAACTAAACCTCTCTCTGTCTCAAAGGCTTGAGATTTTGCTTACCTTCTCTCATTCCGTCGCCGATTTCTAATTGCAGTTAGGTTTTCATTTGGCCATGACATTAACAGGGCCTAGAAAGTGTGACTCCACCAGTGATAGCAGCACTCACAGTCGAGGAGCTGCGAGCCGTCGGGATCTCAGGTCGCAAGGGACTATACCTCCACGATTTAGCGGAGAAGTTCACGTCAGGACTCCTCTCGGAAGCGAAGCTCATCATCATGAATGAAGATGATCTCGTCAAAGCTTTAACGGCCGTGAAGGGCATTGGTGTTTGGTCGGCACACATGTTCATGATATTTTATCTGCGTAAGCCTGACGTCCTTCCTGTTGGAGATTTAGCTATTCGCAAAGCCTTTCAGAAATTATATCACCTCAATCAGCTGCCATCTCCGGCCGAGATGCAAGAGCTTGCATTCCCTTGGAGACCTTATCGAACCCTAGCTTCCTGGTATCTTTGGCGGATGACCGATAACATGCTACCTGATGCTTGACCTCAAAATCATGGAACCATATGTCTATGAACTGATACTCAGCTTCTGGGAAGTCTGTTGAAGTACAGCCAGAGATAGTTAGAATAATTTGGATTGCCAGCTTACTCCAAACTGTACAGCTTTTGATTACAAAAAGCATTCAAATAATATTATTTTAACATCCTTATTTCTTGTATTGATAGAATTTGTTTGAAACTTGATGATAAATTGAAAACATTTGGTCCAAGTTCATGAACTTTGTACTATGACATTGGATTTGCAATACAATTGGGCCTTCCTCTACCTTGAGAAGCTCTGTAGCCAGGGCAGTATTATTACATAGTCACTTTTCTTTTGCGGTTACTAGAACGAAAGACACGAGGTTTACTCGTAGCTGAAGACTCACAAACCAGTTTCTGAGAGGCAAAGAAGAAAAGCTAGTTTGTGAAAATGCTGGAAAACCTCCGAAAGCCACCGCTAGTCTTGCATGGGTCTAACTTTTTGACGGAATGGAAGCCCTTTCCGTGTCCTCTCTAGATTGTCTATCATTTTTGACATTAGGCCCTAAAATCAAATGAAAATTTATCTTACAGGCGGCGTGATAAATTGATAAGAATCCCTGATGTCGCCGATTGGTCTGAAAGACTCAATTGAAACACCCAATGGAGGGGCTTGAATTGAATGAAACGTACTGGTAGCTCAAACTTCCACGGATTAAATAACGAAGCTTGTGGCCACAGCCAAGCTTGTGTAAAAATGTGTCGACTTGCTCACGACATCCCAACACCCAGGTGGCTTGAGCTGAAGGGAATTGTAAACTTGTGCATCATATCCCCGAAAAACGGCTACCAAGATCGCGATTATAAGAACAAGCACTCCAGGAAACCACCTAACACCTGAGCGAGTGCATCTAATTCAGTAACTCTAATTAACTTATTTCTAGCTGCACAAAGATGATGCGTTACAATTAGGCTAACTTTGAAGGTGTCTCATAGGGCACCCACGAAGAGGCAAACGCAAGGCTGTGGCCCTTCCATGAAAGGACCTGAACGTCGTCTTCGTCAAGCTTCATCCCCCAACCCACAGCATAATCACCGACCATCTCTCGCAATGCCGCAACCACGTCCTCACTGACAGGAAGAGCGCGGAAGTTTAGCCTCTGCATGCGCTGGGCCCACTGGCTTTTCGACTCCAAGCGCTCAATACGATGAAAATTCTCACACGCAATGATGTTTTCTATCTTTTGGCCCACGGCTCTCTCAAGCTCAAGCCTACCGTGGCTCCCGTTCTGAGAGTATGTGGCAAGGTAGTCAAATGATATCCACTCGTGGTTGTACGCTTCCTTCAAGCGGGTGACGAGGTCCACCGAGGTAGTGTTACAATCTTCCTCGTACAATGTCACCACAGTGGGATTCAAGCCCCTGATCAGCTGCAAAAACTTGTCGCGTGGACTGAAAATGGTTTCAGATGAAGCTTCACTTACGAATCCTGCGGACTCGTCTGCGAGGTAGTGCAGCCTGAGGCTGCAATTGACAGCAAGGGATTCTCCGTCACGCAGGTCAATGTCCTTGGTGCGGAGCCTTTCCAGAGGCCTTGAGAGGATACGAAACTCAAATGGGACTTTTTTCTCCCCCGCCCAGAGAGCCAGACGATGCCCAACTTCTTCGTAAGTTGGTTGTAGTCGGGGTGGCGTGGGAAGCGATCCGCTGGCGACTGTAAGGCGGACGTGGGGTGGACCGCCCATGCGATCTGCCAAAGCATCGATCAATGTTGGCCACTGCATGCAATGCGAGGTGGAGAAGTCTATGATGTGCACTCGATCGACACCCTCCAACGCTTCTAAAATTGCGCCATTGGCTGCCATGTAACCGAAACGATAATATGGGGTCATGTCCACGAGATTCGTGAGTTCGTTGAAGCCGAGCCTTCTATCTCCCCATTGTACTTCTGCAATTCGAAAAGCAGATTCAGAGCGGGAGTCTGCAAGAGTATCAATTTCAGGAGCAAAGTTTGCAACTTAGAAGGTTTAACGGTCTGAATACTTACGATGAGGGTGATCCAAGTGACCCGTGGGGTCTTCATCTAGTTGTCCTTGCAGCAACCCACCTGCCCTAATGCTCAGAGCCCGCAAGAAGTAGGCGGTGACCCTCTCGTTCGGCTCACCATCTATAGAGGAAATGCTCTGGAGCGCTTGAACAGCTTGTTGCACAACTGGAGCATTTTGGTTCTGGATGGCCGTGGCACACAGCACCAGTAGCCTCTCTGCCCTCGCAGCACTGACGCCCGGCATAACATGACCCTCCTCCTGTAGGGTTTCATTCACACAATTGTTCAAATGCTTTTAGCATCCCAGTAGCAAAAACCTCAGCCGAATTTCATAACAGTCGAGAAAAAAGATATATCCAATGTCGTAGCAAGTCGGGGAGAATTTATAAGCATTTTGGCTAAAGACAAAGGGAAGCGGATGACAAACCATTATATTTTAAATGATAACTACTGCTGCTGCCCTTCAAGTTTGATGCTGTAGGTGCAGAATGTGCGAGCTACTCCTTGAGTAGTGCCAGTCAATGATCAACTTGCAGATATCCCAAGTGCTGTAAGTAGATAGCTGTGGATTCCCTGAGCCAGCCTTTTTCCCTACTTCGATCGCATCCAGATTGTGAGCCACAACTTGAATCAGCAGGCTGACCTATTAACATATAAAACGGGTAACAACGATGCAGTTAGTTAAAGTCAGCTTCATGTTCATTAATCTCGTATCCTGAAAGCCACACCTGAAACCACACATGGAAGCTTTAAAACATCGACATTATTCCATCAACTACGGCAGACCTGTTGCCCGTGCACAGATCAGGACTTTAGGCATCGATGCTATGCATACTGATCAAGCCAGCCTAGACGCCCTGATTCATAATGTCAAGCCCTCATGAGTCAGTGGAATGAATGATTGAGTAGTCAATTGCTAGAAGCTCGTGACTTTGTCTCTGTCTCTCTAAATGCACTCGAATTTGATATGGATTCAGTAACTAGATATAACCTCTGATGGAATTGTCCGAGCTTGGCCATACATCAGTTAAATAAGACGTCTTTAGCTGCATTCTATTTGTACAGCTCAATTTGCAACATGACACCCTCTTTCGTAGCATATGGGATTCAAATTATCGCTCTTAGTCATTATTCCAACCCCGCTCCTAGTCTCAAGCTCCAAGACAAACCTGGATATTGGCACATAATCAGACGGGAATGTCATGCACGATTTCCATGGTCAGGTGCCTAGGCGGAGAAATTTGAGTTCACTAAAGAAGCGAGCGAGAGTACTTGAGAAGAAGCTCCGATGAACATGTGACCTAGTCCTTGAAATGCTTCGACGTCTGCATCTCCACGTACAATGCCCTAATGCTCACCATCCTTTCCAATCTGTCCATTGTTTGCAATCTCCACAGGTGAAGTAATTGCGGCTCCCAGGACCAGATGGCTGCAGTAACTGGCTGTGTAGACGTCGATGGAGACATATCAAGTTCCATATTTAGACGAAGAGATGCAGCCAGATCTGGCATGCAGGCAAATCACAGTTGGGAAATTAAAAACGAATTCGTCAAGGACGGCGATGAGCGTGTGTGCTGTTTCAAACATCAAGGATCGGCCAACTGCTGCAACCATCTCTATTTACAAAAGCAAAGAGGGTGCTGAAATGATATTTCAAAGAAAGATAGCACCGATGAATAGCATGCCACGTGGGACTGTGATGATACTTGTTGTTACAATTCAATTTGTGACACACGACAGATGACGATTACAAAGAGAGTGCACGTCATCGTTGACAGTCAGTTTAAACCCCTATTCCTCTAGTCTATAACAGTGAGGCTCCACTTTCATGTGTACCAGAATATATTCTGAAAGCTATCCAATTTGCTACAGATCAAGAGTTGATGGAGTACATGCGTATTATGTAAGTTCAAATTATGGTCGTATGAGTCAATAAAGTCCTTATAAGTCCGCGGCTAGACGGCGCTTATATCACACAGGTGCAAATAATGATTTACACCAATGTTTGATACACTGCATCATCAACAATACGACCAATAGCAAAATTACATCTTAATTGAGGTATTACGATAGACAACAGAGGGAAATGTTACAAAAACCATCGAAGTCAGTTCGCCAAAATAAAGGCACTTCTTTCACCATCCCTTCATTGTTCAAGTTCAGAATCTCTACTTTCAGGAATGACTTACCCAAGTGGCATTACGATTAGATTAATGTTTATAGCTATGCCAAAAGAAAGATGACTTCACCAGCAAAGAATGCTCACTGAAGAAGGCGGACAAAGAGTGGTTAGGCGAAAAGTCAACGCAGAAGCCTAAACTTGCCATTAGTAGTAACTAATATCAGTAACAGGAAATGATGACTCCACATTCAGTGAATTTGGGGATGGGCACATTGATCACCTGATGTCGACCATGGCCAATATATGGGAGTGTGAGTTGAATCTACAAAGATATTTCTGATAATGTTGACAGAATGATCCGTCTCGCTGATTCCAATAGACGCTTCAACTGATGAAAGAGTAAATCCTGCAGGGCTGACATGTATTACCATACTCAGTGCACCTCACACAAACAACACATGCATTCTATGCTACCTGCTAGCAACCGTTAAGTTCTCTAAGCGTTTCTGTAGTGGAAGGAGCCTCATGAGATCTTTCTCCATCTTTCAAAATGTAGTTCTGTCCCAGTTCTTACGCACAGTGGAGTTCGGAGATTCTGGATAAGGCAGTACCAACATGGACACTAGCAAATGGCAGCATTTTATTCTTGCGTCGCTGAGCTCTAATTTCAGACTAGGGAAGAAAAGAGTGTGAAATGTTCTTCGATGTATGCGAAGTTCCCACGGAGGAATACCAAATGACAAAAGCTCAGAGTGAGAATCAAGTATCCAAGACTGCACTTGCCAGATATAAAATTAGGTGCCCATGATGAGTAGTCTCAGTGATGAAAGCTCAGTCTTCGTTCTTTGCAGCGACAGTCTAACTGATCCGATCCAGCTTCCACCGTGAAGCGTTCTTCAGTCGACCAAATTGCTTCGATGTTGTTCTCCGTCACAACGATCCACACAAAGCCGAACCGTGCGAACTTCAAAGAAGCACAGTAGCTGTGCCGCGCTTGGATGTGGCCCCAAACGACCAACCGATATGTCTATCGAAAGAACACCCGGAAAGAACACCCGAAAAGGAACTCCAAGCAACCAATAGCTGCTCCTAACCATAAGCCGTGGCGCACTCATGCACTTCCTCCGCGGCACATCACACGGAGCCTGAAGGATGCGAAGATACACTTTTCACGACATCCGCAACAGCTCGCGGTTGAGCCTGTCCTGGGGTGCTGCGAGACTGTCCCATCCCAGCACAGCTCAGCAGCCGGAGAGAGGAACATGAAAGGGGAAAGCAGGAACCTCTATTGCGGAGCATATGGCAGAACCTATCTTTGGACTGGGCGCTTCGTAAGCCTACGAGGTTCTGTCTTTCTGCCTACACTATTCATTGTCTTTTCCACTTGAGTAAGTTTCCAGACGCAGACAACCAGACCGTTCCATTTGGAGTCTGAAGCCTAATCCCCGACGTGTGCATCAATATTCACATCATTGCTTGGGTAATCAAAATGGTCCCTGCGTTGACCAGAATTATTGCAGAGACAATATTTAGGTTGATTCAGTGCGTTGAAGCCTTTTGAACCATGCGCCTTTAAGACACCGATTGCCATCACCTACATGCAAAGCCCCAGCCATCACAGGTGAACTCACCAATCACGCTGGTATACGTAGGAGAGTGGATCTTGAGTACCATCGATCTACAAGTTGACATGGAGAATTTGCAGCTATGACGCAACCCAATGCGGTACCTTAGATAGCTTCGTTTCGGACTGAGAAACCCTAGACTGCGAATCTAGTTCATGAGCAAGTGTCGAAACACAACGGTGGACGAGGACATAGCATACGCTACGGTCCACGACAAAATGCGTCCCCGCAGCAAGCTAAAGCTTGTACGTCTACGAATCTGGAATATAGGTGTTCACAGATTCAGCTTACCTGATGACCATTCAAAACCCATTGTCTCAAGATCACGCCCTGATCGTCACTCTAGCGTGTCACCTTGTGCAGCCGGTAAGCCGAACAGGTTTGAGTTTAAAATAGGTTACGTGTGACGATCTTCTAAGCCGGGAATATGGCGATTTAATACCCGCCAAAAATTGGGGCTAGCTGTGCTCTGGCAAGTCGGATGGTTGTGGTGTGGTGGGAGCAATGGGGCAAGATTGACCTACCTTAGAGTGCCCGTATCCGCAGTAATGTGATACGATCGACGTCCGAATGGAATAAAGAAGGCTTTTTCAAGTGTTAAGATGTCAGAGCTGAGGAATGTGAAATGAAACGGGCCCATTGGTTACCTCGGTATTGCAATCATGTGTAACGCCAGTACTTATGGTGCATGCTGCTTACTAAAGTACCAATAAGTCGGAGGTTTTACTACTTCCTACATAATCACCAACTTGACAAGTTGATCCCGGGAACTCGAATATATTTTGTTTGTTTGTTCCAGGGCTTACATATCCCTTCGTTTTGAAAATAGTTTCCGTGACCTCGGCGAAAAATATTGCCTGTCAGATATTCTGCAAAGCAGGAGGAGGCCCAATCGGCACCTGACGAATCCGTCGGGGCTCTGAGCGTACGACATCTGGCGTGCAAGGAAAGGAATCATGAAGTTTCTTGTCACACTCCGAAGGATGAAAATACAATTACAGCCACCTAATTGGAAAAGCGATCACCGATCAGACCAGGCTGTTTCCACATCTCGAGGCGGTAAGATAGATTCGTCGTGCTAGACCTGTATACCCTACAATGTTTCTAACCAGATACTGTTTTGCTGCAAATCCCAAGTGGTTTATCTAGTGGCCTGCTATTATCTTGTGGGCTCCCGGATACCGCTTGCGGTCAACTTGCGGCTTCACGTCAATGAGAGCATAACTTGCCTTCTTTCAAATTTGTAGCGGAATCTCGGACTGGTGGGTCGGTTGTTGTCGGACAGGTTGTCATGCCTCCATCACCGCCTACAGACGAGGAAATTGAGCAGGTGAGGTTTCAGGCAGTTTATGAGTCCGTCGTTTTCTCTCGACAGACTTGCACTGGTTCAAGTTCTCCTGATTGCTTCGGCGTGTTGGAGCAGAATAACAATTTTGTCCATGAGCGGCACTTCAGTTCATTGCGGCGCCTTTGTTCCGTGGTAAGTTGACACTTTTGGTACCTGCTACTGATCATTTTTGGACCGTGAGGAATCACCCATTCTTATGCGATTCAGAAGTTGAACTTCACTTTTGATCCTCTATTGCACTGATAAAGCACGCAATTATCATGCATTTTGGTTGTTCTGATCAATAGAAGTAGTCTTAGCAACCATTTACAATTAATATGAAAGATTCGTACCATTAAAATCAGTACATCGAATAGTACAGCTTGCTAGTTATATTCAGTGTGAGTTATCAATTGCATTCACTGTTTTCTTTTCATGCATTTTGCTACTTTGTTTCGTAAAATTAGGGTGTATCAAGTAATTCTTCATCATTGTTTAAATTATTAGTTTGTTTGTATAGGTGTTACATAAATGAAATTTTTATCATGAAATATCATGATTTCAAAATTGTATTCATAAGTGTATTTTGTAACTTTTCTCCATAACATTATGGACTATCAAAGTTATTTAGACGACTTATTTAAATATCATAATATTTTTTTTTTCGTGCAATGTAATTATGAATTATATATTAATAATATCAATAACTTGAATATTTAAAATCAATCATATAATAAAAATAATTCTCAAATGAATATTTATTAATCAATCTAAATTGCTTTAATAATCCATTTTCATAAAACAAATATTCTAAATATTATTGATCTTAATACAATGATTATAAAAGTTTTAAAAATGGTACAATATGAACTAGGACAAGAAGCCAACATGTATGTTTTTATTTCTATGTAAGAAGTTGTAATAATTAGAAAGATCATAATGATTTTTTATTGTCTCTACAACTTTATGTTTGAATTAAGATTTAGATTATTTTGACTACAACAAATTATGATACTCATTTGTTCATTATTTCTACACATTTTGAAGATATGAGTTTTTAGAAGATTTTCATGATATTGATATTGATGCAAAGTCTTTTATTCATTTATTATTAAATATAATTAGTTCATTCTAATTCAAGCCAAAATTGTGCTTTTAATATATTTTTAAGAATAGATACAATACTTTTGATACAATCTTAATCATACCAATTATCTACATGATGTCAATGAATTGTTATACTTATGTTTGTAGTATAGATGCAAGACAATTCAAGAAGGCTCTTGGAGTATTTGTCTTTGGTGAGATTTATGATGTTGGTTATATTCTTCTAGCCAATGATGATGATAGTGATTAGAAAAGAAGCTATCATTAAACAAAAATTGAATATACTATCTACACTCCAACCTTCATTGATCAACCTTAAACCTTGATAAATTAAAAAGTAAAACCTTCTACAATTATATTGAATATGCAACCGTATTATATGGAATTCATGAGAAGTTTTAAATATGGTATTATCCAACATTATAGATAATATCTAATATGTTTGAGTTTAAGACTTAGGAGATCAATTAGTGAACTATCTATTTTTTGTTGTCAATAATACCTTTGTTATGGTATATTTAGTCTTTATTATCTATGATTAATATCAACTTCAATCTTTGATTGTTTTCAACAAATATTATTGTTGTTGTTGTTATTGTTACTACTACTTAGTATGAGTAAAATATGGTCTTATTGTTTGTAAAAAATTGATATAAAGTTTGTAGTGCATTTGATGAACTTTGCAAGCTCAATTGACAATGCTTGAATGTAGGATAATTTGAAGAATATTGAGATAGTATTGATTATCAAGATATAGTGGAATCTTTGAGCTTTTGCCATTATTAGATAATAATTACTTTGGAGAGTTTTTCAAAAGAGTGAGAATTTGAAATAAGAAAGTTATAGATGCAGATTTTGAAACTTTGGTTTGAAATTTTGGATAGCATCTTTTTTATTCTTGGTCTATAAATATCACAAATATACATATTTATTCTAATAATTAACTATATAATTAGATAGAAATAGATAAAAATAGATTAATTTTATAATATCTTCTAAAATAGCTTCTTAGAAGCTTCATAGATGTAGCTTTGACTTTATATGTGTTTATAATTGATTGATAGATTAGAAACTTGATCAAGAAGTTAACTATATATCACATATATTGGTAGTTTATGATATAAGCTAATTATATAGCATATATATAAAAAACTTGTCTTGCAAGTGAAAACATGTATCTTGCAAAGTCAACATGTGTTGGAGGTCCTAAAGAACATTGTCAAATAGCTTCTAATTAGATAGTATATATGGAGGTAGGAATAATGCCTTTTTTATTCTTGTCAACATCTTTTTAGTTTTTAGTTTTGTTTCAAGACTTTTTAGTCTTTTTATCTTTAGCAATAGCCA